ATAATTCTAACAGCTGTGAAATTATCAGGCGGATACTCTAATAATATATATATACTGTTGTTATCCTCATATAATAATGTTATATCAATGTACATTTACGATGATTCATTCTAAAAATACAATATATATATATATATATATATATATATGCATTTATAAAATCCAAAAACAAAAGTAAGTCGTATTTATTATGTTATATAAATGTTCCCGTGGAAAAAATAAATGCATAATTTAGTACATGAATCATAATATTGGAGTTTCCTTTAGAAATACAATAAGTTTGCATGGTTCACTTCTTCGACAATCTAGGATGAATGCCCGGATGTATGTCTTGGCTTCACAAATAATCGCAGCCCACCCTCACTTCGCATCACGAGGGCAATGCGCCGTCTTGCTGGAACGCTCTCATCTATGACGAACTCAAACTTTCTCAGCAATAAAGCAATTACAGTTTTCATCTCGGACATAGCAAAGTTTTGACCGATGCAGTTTCTGTGTAAATGAAGAATGAACCTGTTTTTTTAGAGTTTATTGTTTTAATGCATGTATAATTGATGAAGATAAGATTGCTACTGAGCTTTACTATGACGACGAATAGAGGTGCTTAGGGTGTTGGTCTACAACAATTTGAACAGTTGTAGTTCATTTGTACTAAGAACTGTCCTCTTCTCGCCCTGACTGATTTTCTCGCATCGCGTAACTGACTGAGGCACCCGTTGAGTAGCAATCACCGAAACCGAACCGAACCTCTAGTACATACATACCTCGGCCCAGCAGAGAACGGGAGAAAGGCATATGGTGATCTGCCTTGACAATTCTCTGGCGTGAATCTTAACGGGTCATACACCTCCGGGTTGTCCCATATAAATCGATTTTCATGGAGACCCATTATCCCAATACCAATCCATATGCCTGTGAAAAAAAATAAAATTACAATTGTCTTCAATGACCGAATTCTGCGTCAAAAAAATCAAGCTGAAATAAGCAATTTGAATCACTATCTTGAGTGTTTTGAACCACTATGTAAGCAATCGAATCATTACCACAATATCTTGGTTGATTTGATTCACTACAGTGAACGTTTGAATCGCTCGCCATTTGAATTACTCCCATGGCAAATTCGAATCACTATCTTGAGTGATTCGAACCACCATCATAAGCAATTTCTGTTACTCTGATGAGCAATGTGAGTCTCTATCGTGAGTGATTTGAATAACTATCGCGAACAATTAGATCACTCCGATGAGCAATTTACATCACTGTTTTGTAAGTGATTTAAATCACTATCGTGAGTTTTTTGAATTACTATCGTGGACAACTGAATCACTCTCATGACCAATACATTTCTTTTTCGTGAGCATTTTTACAAGAAATATTTCTTTTTAAATTGTGTTCGTAATGTATTGCCGAAGGTCATGCCATATGTGCTTGTATCCAGGCATCAAATTCAGAATATTTGCATATAATAAGTGCACCCACCTTCTGGGATGGTGACATTTAATTCAGGAAATGTCATTGATTTTGACAACTTTCTGCCAACAAACGGCACTGCTGGTGTTATACGAAGGCTTTCCTTTATACACATTGTAACGTAGTTCAAATGATTTAAATCGTTCCTATTAATACCAGCAAACATATTGAAATGTAAAACACTACGATTAAGACTTTCGACATTATACAATCATTATTCGTTTTTTAGACAAAAAAAATGATTTTGACAATTTAAATAAAAAATATGTTAAGAATATTTTATCAAAAAATGTATTCCATGAGCTAAACAATAATGATTTTAATAATTACCGATTTCCCGAGAATATTAAAGACTAATTAAAACATGATTTGTTATATTTTCGACATTGTTATTTCATTTGTCTTGAATTTATGACTGAAAAAAGCTAAAAGAAATGTAGTGTATTCAACAACTCTTCAATAAATATCGTTTAACGTAAAATAAAATGAATCTAATGGTAACAACAAGATGCAAAAGGTTTTGAAAGTACTTTTAATAACATGAAACTATCGTCGTGCCAAAACAAGTTGCCTTGTTTTAAATAGTGTGAACAATTACAGACCATGCTTAACGCCCTCAAGAAAAAAATAACTGAAGCTATAAGCTCGGGTTTATTTAAAGGACCTATATTTTCATTGATAATGATGAATACATTGGACTATGCTTTATCCTGAACAGGCAATTCTCTTCAAATAACACACATTTGCGTATTCTGCCGACGAAGTAATAAAATTACACCTGTTGTTTCAGTGTGCACAAAAAAAAATCACTGCGCATGCGTTTGTCCACAGCATAAAGTATGAAACAACAACATTGAAATAAATATACTTTCGTCCATAATGCATTTTTAAAATTAAAAAAAAAGACTTACCATTCAATTTTGTCTTCTCCTTTCTTCTCTAATAAAGCATCGATTTCTTGTTGACACGTCTTCTGGTGTTCAGGGTTCTTTGCAAGATTGTAAAGACACCACGACAGCCCACTGGCCGTTGTGTCGTGACCTTCAAACATAAACGTATCAACCTCATCACGGATTTCCCGGTCAGTCAGCCCTTCACCGTTTTCATCCTGTATTAATATATACAAATGAATAATAAAGTATTAACTATTATTGCAATCATATTGTACGACCCATTTCTTATTTTCGTCAGTTGTATTTTGTTTCGCGGACCGCTCAGCTTATTATCATATATATAGATTTAATTGGAAAATTCAATAGGTACTTTTAAAGATCTCACGAGATTAAACAGCTTAGGGCGAGTCCTGGGAATTATGGGTAATCGCTGGAAAATACAATGCTCGACATTTTTTTAATTATTTTGAATATTTAAAAGTCGCTATCTGAATATAATTCAGCATAAATATGGCCACCTTGTAATCCTTCCGGGTGAGGAATTTCTGATCAACTTATAGAAAACGACATCGATTATTTGATATTCAGGTGTATTCTATCGGGACATTGCGACTGCAGGTGAGCTACGTAATTCAAACCTATAAGAATGCCCGGTAAAATCTACTATCTTTTATTTTACGGTTTGATACTGAACTAGACCAAGCCAACCTCTGGGCCCCACTCGACCTCTGGGCCACAGAATATTACAAATCCGTAAAATATAATATAACTTATAACTATCCAAATACCATCTCTCTGGTTGCGTTTTGGGTTCACGACATTTCGCGAAAAAATTACGTCTCAAGGGGAATCTCGGCCGAAATATTGATTTCTGCGCAAAATAATAGCTTTGTCTGACGTTTTGCATCCATCAATATTGCCAAATAAAGATAACCTAAGAATGTCTGTGCTCCAATACTCACTCTTGCCGCCAACAGAATATCCAAAAAATCGACATATCTTCTGTTTTCACAGTCTGTCTTCTCTCTTTTTAACTTGATGGTCTCTTTGCGTTGTTGGATTACATTTCTTGAATAGGTGTGTACAACATTCAATGCTTTCCTCCATTTATAACCACTATATGTGAGGTGGTATATAAGATTGCTGTAGTATAACGGGTTCTGAATACGACTGTCGACCATGAGAGCCAACTCCTTCACAGAATCTACATAACTGTTGCGTTTCCTGCGAATATGAATTGAGGACATTTGAAGTACAGCCTCTCAACTGGTCAGTTATAAATAGTCTGTAGTATTTCCTAGTAATCTAGATTGAAATATATTTCAATGTGATATTTGGAGAGGTTTTATTTTATAGATGTTGCATCGTAAAAATAAAAATAAATTATATTTTCTCACCCGTCAACTTGACAGTGAATCTCCTGGCTAAATAGGCATTTGATTAGGCTATGGAGCGTCAGTAGACTGATATGCTCAAACATTTCCAGTGAACCAGTGTGGCAGCGCTGACTCCATTTTTCCTGTAATTAGTGTGGAACATGTTAAAGCGCGGTGGTCGTCGCGCAGCGCGTGTTCGAATTTCATGTACATAAACAATGTATTTTACATGCGTTGTATACGTTGCTATGAGTCCCATATCGAACAGGACGCGGCGCGACGACTGCCGCCCTTTAAAAATGATGAGTTACCTTTTCACACAATCACAAAAAACCCCACTGAACTTGGCTGAAATACATTTTGTCTGATACTTTTATCTGATAGCTGAAACTGCCAGAACTACAATCCCTAGCAACCCTTTGATAATTGATATGTTGATGTATTTTGTGAATGTCAGCCAGGCGGATAACTGGGAATTTTAATAGTACATAGTATGGTTATGTATCGAAACAGAATACACTGTCTAAAATTATTACACTGGTTTTTTTACATGGAATTATGTGTGACGCGGATTTGTCATGAAGGCTTTATTCAGACTGCATCGGGGTCTGCATGTAGGACGCCATGGTGAGAGACACGGTGATAAATTAAAACTAGTAAAAAAGACAGACAATAAAATTCAGATATTAAATAAAAAAAATAAAGACATAAACGAAATTATAAAATTTAGAGAAATGATATAAACAAAGCAAAATTACATGATTCGAAAACAAAACTAATGCCGTTCACAGGTAACCATAGCAATATGAGATTAGGCAGTGGTACGCTGTACAATGAAATACATTACTTTCAAGAGATGCGTTCGTAAAGAACGAACAAACACGGTTAAAAGAAGCGTGAAAACCGTGAAATGACAATAAAGTACTCGTATATTCAGGGGAAAAAACTTCGCTTAAGATAACAAACACAGAGGGCGCTATATTCAGTAATTAATTATATTCAAACGCATTGCTAAATATTTATTGTGATGTTTAATGCCAGTCATGTACACCCGCCCTCACTCACTCAATACTTCATCCACTCACATCCAAAATAACACTGACAGGCTGTGCTAATATTATAAGTTTTCAATTATTTTCTCTATTAACGCATTAAATCTACAAATACCTACATGACACTCTAGCAACAATATCGACGCGCTTCTTATCAGTAAATGTAAAGTCCGACACTTTGATACTTACAATTAATGTATTGGTACAATCATTAAATATTCCAACATATGGTCTGAGAATATCAAAATGAAATCCCGGTGTCAGTAAACGTCTGTTCCTGAACCATTTATTTCCTTTACTTAACAACAATCCGTCGCCCAACCATGGTTTTACCATCCCGTATGTGAACTCATCTTTCGGTTCTTAAATCAAGATAATCATATTTGCTTCAGTATAATAAATATTGATATAAATTACAAGTTTGTTTTTATTATCATTGCAAATGCAGCTAGGACGTAATCTACTAGTACTCAAATTAATGGGCAATTTTCATTTCCGCGATTATTATTATTTTGCGTTTCTTGTATTTAATGTTTTTTTATGTCTCTATATTTCGTCATAGACAGCTTCGTGAATCATTCTGAGAAACAGTCGAAATCGCCCAATCGCCGTGAAAATAGTAATGCCATTTCCGTACAGTCACTTTAAAGCGGGAGTGTCGTCACCTGCGCATGCGCGGAAATTGAGTTCCAAGCGACGATAACAACAGACGCTAACAACGCAAAGGCTCATGGGTAGACGCTTGTTTGTAAATAATGACACGCTATGATCATATATAAACTGGCCAAGTGATTGACAGCACGAGTGCTCAAACAGCGAGAGCGTCATAGCATGGAACTATAAACCCCTTTTTTTTTCCATGGTCATAGCAAGGGATTTCCAGCAGTATAATTGATAAGCTATGATGTCACTAGCCATCATTTCCCGCTACAAATTTGAAGCAGCAGGCCTTAAAGTCTCAATATTGATGTCGCGACGGTTATTCAAGGCAGTTAAATCATAATGTGTTAGATATATGCTGCTGGGTGTTCGATGTCGATACAAGCTGGACTATATTTGTTGATAGGGAGAGTATGTTGACCCTTGACTACTGTTACTTTAAATTAAATCATGTAGCCTACAGTGCAACGAGAAGTAGTTTCGAGACACGTCCTCACAACATCCCGTTGTATCATGCTGTTATCTTTAATTTATATGCAGCGTAATAATACTTATATTGTTATATACCTGTGCTTACTAGTACCGGACGTATTGTATCTGGATGAATACATGACAAACATGCAATGAACGGCCCTGCCCACAACTGAAAGCCATATTTCACGTTCTTCAGTGCATTAGTTGTCCACTGAAAACTGGCTTCATCGTTTCTAAACTGGAAATGAAGAGACATTATTTTTAATTTTCTATAATTTCACATCGATATATCGAAAATATGATGAACGGAAAATATTCACTGGTCGAGGATATTCCGTAATTTGAGTATGTATACCTTATCGAGGTCGCCAAGAAGAAAGTGCTTCTTGAAGCCTGGGAAAAACGAGAGCGCCCTCTCGTTATACCGGCGTTGCTTGTTGAGGTTCACCAAGGTGAGTGTGACTTTTAAGACAATAACAATAACTAACACCTCGCCGACCACACTCCTCCACAGAATGCCTTCGAAGAACATATTTTTTTCACTGCAGTGCTTTCCTCCCTATATTTAAGATATAGACATATATTATTTAAGATAACGTAATATTTTCGTGTGCGTTTTACTATGTCCCACATACAAAAAATAACCTGTCGAACCTAGAGATAAATTACTTCAAAGTTTTGTTATTAAAGAAAACAACAAATAGGTTCCAAAAACGATTATATTGTAGTGAAATAACCCTAAGATCAATGAACCATTTAACGTACTATTATAACACATTTTATGACACCGTTTTAGATTCACTTGTTCAGCGTAGTAGTATTGGTTTGCCATTTAATGCCAGTCAAAATCACCAGAGGGAAAACATAAAACGAGGTTTTTGATTTGTTTTCAGCATTGTCCGTGGGTGTAGCCTCATATTGTTCACACTAGTGCAACTAGATTGTATCACGGAACTCCATGATATCACCGACATAGAAATCTGGGTTTTCGCGACCTCGCATCGATCTTTGTATGGGCCGCAATATACAATGTATCAAGCTTTCAGGGAATGAGGCTTGTTTTCATTATAATCGATAAGTAAATGGTACTACGATTGTTCGGAAAGTGGCGCAGCAACTTCATATTAGCTTTTTATTTGGGTGAGGCAGTCCCAGGACTGACATACAGTAGATCGTTTCTACGCTAGAAGTCTCGGTCAGTAGATGTTCATTCCGCAGAGCCCACTCTGCGTCACGGTTGACACTTATAGTTACTTGACTGACGACCTGGTTGTACAGATGATGGTTTCGCGTTAAGAGTGTTTTGTACGCAGAGTAGAGAACAGTTCAGCGTGGTACCAGTCACAACACAACAGCATTTTTTCCCATGCAATCGACTGATCAACTGCTAGACGGTATCGATAAAATTACGTGATATATTTTCTAAGCACAGTCAGCT